CAAAACCGTCAAATAGGACGGAACGAACTGCTGTGCAGTAAACCCATCCTTTGGTTGGTAGACGGATATCTTGCCTACGCCATAAATGACGCAAGTTGGCGGAAGGTAGTGGAGCCTTCTGTATTCCTGCTGAGATTTCGTCACGCCAGAACACAAGGGCTGATGAGACTCCCGAGATAAGCGAAGCGGTCAACACGTTCAACTACTTCTCTCCCTACCATTGGTTCGGGTGTTGATGAAACTCAATTCTGAAGCAATATTTTGTATTTCGAGCTAGAGAATAGCATCCCGAGCATGCTTGCATTGTTGATTAGAATGGTCAGAAGATTCTGTATTTTTTGAGTGTCTTCACCAAATAGAACTGTCATCGGCATATTATAATTCAACAAGTGAATCTCCCGGTAGAAGCTCAACCCTTGGAAATTTAGATGAGGAAATTTTTTATCCCTATAAGCACGTCAACGACAAAGTTAAACAAGAATGGAGAGAGTGGACAGCCATGACGAACACCGCCTGAGGTATTCAATTCTGATGACAGTTCGCCATAAGCTCTCAGTCGACCAGTTGTATTCGAGTGGAGAACCTTCATAAGGTTAATGTACTTCTTTGGTACTACTTTCAGTGACGAACTACCATAGGACCTTATGACCATCAGAATGAACTGTCGCCTTAAGGTCGAGAAATACTACGATTGTGGGGTGTCTGAATCTGTGTCTATATTCTAGGACCTGAATTAGTGTGAATATCTGGTCTATACAACCACGTCCAGGTTGAAAACCAGCCTGGTTTTCTCTAGACGTTAGATTGACCTTGAGAGTGTCCACCTAATAATCATGACCAAATGAGGATAATGAACCTGTGTGAGGAATTAGAATTATGATTTACGGTTGATGATTAAGTTTAAAAATTAAATTTAGTGTTTTCATCACGAACTGACCATTAGCTATAATGTCAAAACTCTATTTAGACAAATGGGTAAATGAATTTCGCGCTAAACTCCAACACCAGTTATCTTACACCTGATTGGTTCTGTTATAACTGTTTTCTTACGGTTATGACCCAGCTATTCCTATTGCTTGGTATTCTCGGACACCGATTCACTCGACAAGTCCCCAAATCAAAACACGGTTAAACAGGAAGAGATTATATTCCAAATAACAAGGTTAGATGGACGCGAGAAGCAAGCCAGAAGCACAATAGGGAAAAACGTCAGTATATTTATAGTTTTTACATAAGAAGATTCCAGAGTACTTTCCAACTATCGACTAGTGCTGATTGGATAAGAATTAGCCAATCAGCGTGCACCAAAGCAATCATGCATTGAGCATGCTTTAATCTAGTCTATGTCCCGCTAACAGGTTCGTCCATAAATTATAGTCTCTCCATAAAACAGACGAAAGGAAAGATTGAACGCAGCATAGAAACAAATTATTATTTAAACGAATGAAACAAATGTATCATATTTTACAGAAATGAATTGATTGACGATAATTATAGTCGTATCCAAATAAGAACATGGTAATCATTATTAGTTCAAACTTATTTCATCAACAGTCTCTATCCATTGATAATGATAATCAAACGGACCTAAACCAAGTAGTCTGAACTTGTCTACACTGCTTAGTTTAACTGAAGACATCATCTTATGAAATACTACAAAAATGATAATCGATTCAACCGGCAAGGGTTATATAGGATTTACCAACTGTTATTAATTGCCACGTTTCGTGGAATAAAATCAACTTTATTTCAGTAACTTAATTGAAGTAGGTCATAGAGATAGTAATTATTAAACAAAACAGAAAGCATTTCTTTTGAAATAACTCAATGTACACTTACCGTGCCCATCAATTGCGAATGAATAACTTGGATCTTGTATTGTATAGGCGCACATACCGGTATCATCACCGTATAAAAAATTATCATTTTCTGTCATATTTATAGCTGATGTGTATGCTGTCACTTTACCAACTTCATGACCTGGTCTATGTAATGAATCTATTTCAAATGCATATTTTGTTTTAGACCAAATTGGTAAATCAGATTGAATATGCTAAAATGTAAACAGTATATTATAAGGAATATATGTGTTTATGTTTTAGTTTGAATACAGGAAAAGATACCCTCATTCATGCACTGAACTGTATCGATAGTGCTGTCATAGATGTTGGGGAGTTTTTTCAAGAAATCATAAATCCTCTTAAGAAACATCTAAACTTTATTTTAAAAAAACTTGCGAACAATTCTACGAAACTTAAAAATCTATGAGTTATAAATCAGTAGAAGCAGTAAATGGTATTCCCAGGATCCATCAAATCGATACTGACAATATCAAAACAATTCATAAAAGTTGTTCCAGCCAAACATAAAAGCAAGTGACTGAAGCTTTAGATATGTTGCTAAACACCATTGTGGTCAATAAAAAGGAACGTTTAACTATTCAACCAATTCAAACAAGTTTTCTAAGTAAATACACTCAACCTGTTTAAACCGCACACAATTAACACACAAATTAGATCTACTCTTTTACATTGCAAATACACCATTTTTCTAGATAATGGACAAAATTTGAGGCTTACTTTGATGATTTTGAGCGGAAGATTTTATTTGTAAAGCTTTCACTGTTCTCCAGAACAGGTACATCGACAATAACCAATCAAAATCAAGGTAGACAACACAAGCTATCAGTCATAAGTGGAGTAGCTCGAATAGCTCACTTTTACCTAAAGTTTGTGCTAATAATGTTGTTCACAGTAACGATGGAAAAATTGTTCAATATACACGACTGTTTTAAACATTTTGATTTGTCCCTCTGCATTGTCTAAAATTCTGTTAATTTAGATAGGTTACTGATTCTTCGTAAAAGTGAGTTACCCTAAGTCTCAAAGAGTTCGAAATTCAATTTTCATTCATTAAAATATTACAAATATATTGTTTTCGTATTATAAACAATCGACTCAATGCCCAATTTATATAAGATTATCGAATCAAACATGATTGATAATGTGTAAGAGATGATCAAAGATATGTGAATAAATTGTTTAGAAAGTAAAATTTAGCTGCTGAACATATCTCTATACTACTGAATAGATTCTGTCAGTCCGAAAACTTAGCAAGACAGTTGTTTTTCTTTTTAAAAAAAATTAAACTTCGTAAGAAATCTATTAGCACGATTGTACACGGTATCAAATCAAAAACATAAGAATTTTCCCATCTGTATGGTCACAACCTAGTGGTTCACACAAGAGTTGACCTAAGTCTTTTTCTGGTGTAGAAAGATCTTCATTCTATGCGTTATCTAAGTTGGGTCATCTAACATGTAAAAACTTTAAAACTCAGATATAATGTAAGTATATCTTCATACAGCTGAAGCTCTAAAGAGAGTGGATAATCATGAATGATTATTAGATTCAAGCTCATATACCATATGAGTATATGTCGCTTTATAAAGCTACCAGGAAAAAAGCACATATCAAACAACATGCTACCAACTAGTTGTAAGTTGAACAGGATTTTAATGCTACTTACCGAAACAATGTTAAATTCATTTTTGTATTGGTTTTATGAATATTCCAATTGATGTTTAGGACTGCAATTGATCAATCTTGTATCCTGTACGGGTTGTCTCGATTACTGTCTTAAATCACAACCATTATAAGCAAAGATGGATGGTGGATAGCATTGAAATTTAGGATGTGCGTTTATTCCCATTTGGGACTGGTCATCTGGATGTACCTGCATCCCAAAGTTAATGCTTAATCTAAGATGCAGGTTAATCTAGCTGACGAGTCACAAGTAGGACGGAAAGTGCATTCTGGATCCCACTGCTAGTCACTATTCATCGCTGCGTATAATAAATGCTTGATTCAGATCATGTAGTCAAACTTGAACAAAGTCTTTTCGTATTTATGCTTCACATGTTACCATTACGTAACACTAAATTGGTTTTTTGACAAGGTTAAAATAGTTTCATTTATTGAAATATTTTTGTTTTTACATGCTCCCTACATTATTCTGTTTTTACATCCATCGATTTACTATTCGACTACAATTATGAGTAATTGTAGGAACTCAGTAGCTCTTATCGTTAACTCATCAATCATCGTCGTTAGATAAATATATGGACATAGATACACACTTATAATATATACGGAAGTAAACCTGGAAAAGGATTCGATTAGAAATAGAACTATTTGGCTTACGCAACTTTTCATGAATTTTATCCATGCATAAAGCCATGCAACGTTACATCACTTGTCGTCATGTACCTTATTTCTCAGTAAAAAAATCTACTAACATTGAATTTGAAAATACATTCATGCGCATTTATAAAATTAAACTTAAAGAACCGCTCACTTCAAATGTAATTGGCCAAGATTTTGTCGACTTTGTTGGATGAGAACAGTCTTCAGCTATTATTTTCAAATGATAAAATCCTGTTCTAGCTTCTAAACTACCAAAACTTTTAGCATGACGATATGATGTTTCATTGAAAGTTAAATAACCATATCCTTTCTCTTGGTTTAAAACATTACCATGAATAAAGTTAGGAACACTATTTCTGCCAGATGATAGTAATGAGATGGAACATAGTTTTGAATCTATTTATTGTAAAAATAAAAATAGTTGCCACAATTCACATATTCGTTCTTAAAATTTATAAAATGATGATGGTTATAGTTTTTCACATGGAATTGAGATAAAACATTGAGTAATAAAACAAGACAGTCAAAATTTTCAACTAACTAATCACAGGTTAAGACCCCACTCCATCTAATTCAATACAAGTATCTGTATCATAGTGCTATTTAACAGATAAGAAATATTCACTGAAACTGAGTACACAATATTTTGCGTAGAGATGGAATTAAGATAAACCCAAGTTATAACTATCAAATTATCTACAGGTCAATATATGTAGATAGCAAGAAGCTAGTTTATTTGGTTTTTAATATGTTAAAAATTTTATTGCTTTTACCATTTGTGTAGAGTTTTAAAGATTTATTTATTTTATTTATTTGAACACATAAATATTGGTACAAGAGAGCGCCAATATATATGCGCCACACAAAACAATGGGAGTTCGAAGAGAAGTAGAAAGAGAAAAAAAAACTAAGGAACGCAAAAGAAAAAGAGAACAATGACGAAGAGATTGGAGTAAGGTAGTGTGGTAGTAACGACGGAACGAAAAGGTACAATCAGAAGAAATCTTTCAGGTAAAGGAGACACAACCACTTTTTATGAAGAAAGTAAAAGAAGGTTACAGCAGGATCGCCATTGGCTTCTATTCTGAGCCATATCTGATAACGTCTCTAGCCACTGTGTAGCACCATCTCTCGGACCCCAACCAGGGAGTCGTGAAGGACCAACACAAGCCAGTCCTTTGCAGCTTTCTTTCATGCCACGACACCATGTCATGCACTGACCACCTCTCCGCTTTCTCCAACCAGTCCCAGAGTCGGCAAATAATGCACGACGTGGAATTCTCTGGGACGACATTCGGAGAACATGTCCAAGCCACCGAAGTCGGTGTTTCAAGATGGTGACACCAATTGAGTTATCATCTCTGTGTCCGAACACACGATGCCGAACCTCTGCATTACTGACATGGTGTTGCCACTGAATGTCAGCAATCCTTCGGAGACAGCGATGATCGAACACAGAGAGTCGTCTAACGTCCTCAACTCGGAGAGACCAGGTTTCACAAGCATAGAGCAAAACTGCTCTCACCGACGCGTTGTAGATCCGACCTTTCACAGCCAGACTAACATCACGAAGGCGCCAAAGGTGGCCCAGATTGGCATAAGCCGCTCTGGCTTTCACTATTCGTGCATTGATCTCATCACTCACACCTCCACCAGCACTTATGCAGCTACCCAGATACACGAACTTCTCAACTACGTCTATCTGCTCACCGTCCAGGGTGAGTACAGGATTAGAATCCTGCCAGTCTTGTAGAAGTACTTTGCACTTCGAAGGTGCAAAGCACATACCATACCTACGGACACTGATTGCCAACTGATTAAGTGCGGATTGCATGCCTTGGGCATTATCGCACAGTAAGACAATATCGTCCGCATACTCAAGGTCGAGAAGTCTTTCTCCAGGCAACAGATCCACACCACCATTACTTACATTCATCAGAGCTGTTTCCAGAATGTCATCGATGGCAAAGTTGAAGAGGAATGGTGAGATTGGGCAACCCTGCCTAACCCCACTACTCGAATGGAACAATGGAGAGAGGTGGTTGTATGCCCTCACTCTGCCTGAGGTGTTTGTATATAGGGCTTTAAGGATGTTAATAAACTTCTCAGGCACACCCTTCTTCAATAGACAATCCCAGAGAACAGTCCTATCCAACGAATCGAAGGCAGCCCTGATGTCAAGAAACACTACGATTGTTGGCCTTTGAAAAGTATGGCGGTGTTCTAACATTTGGCGGAGGGTGAAGATATGATCAATACATCCTCGACCAGAACGAAACCCAGCCTGCTCCTCGCGAGTCAATCTTTCTCGGGTTTTGAACAACCTACGAAGAATGACGGAAGCCAATAGCTTGGACGCAATCGGAAGTAGACTTATCCCCCGATAGTTGTTACAAGAACGACGTGAACCCTTTTTAAAGATAGGGACAACTATCGACTCATTCCATGACGTTGGTACACTCTCTAGTTCCCAAACCTTTGTAAACAACGTCGTCAATTCCTTAGTCAAAAAGTCACCACCATCTTTAAAAAGAGCCGGAGGTAAGTCATCTGGGCCAGGTGATTTGTAACGCTTCAAGAGTTGGAGTTCCTTGCGGACTTCCTCCTCGTTTGGTGGATCAGTCGTCACCGGCCATGGAGGGCAGGACAGTCTGACCGATGTTGCCGGAGCAGCAGGCCAGTTGAACTGCCCTTCAAAAAATTCTGCCCATCGTCCAAGACGTCGATGGATGTTAGTGATTGGCATCCCATCATCCTCGCAGATTGTTTCACTCACACCAGACTTCTTGCTGCCAGTGGCTCGGATGAGCTGGAAGAGCTTCCGGTAGTTACCAGATGCAGCTGCTGCTTCCAGCTCATTAGCACGCATCGACCACCAGGCTTCTCGGTCCTTACGCAAGCTTTGCCCGATTTCCTTACGTAACATCCTTCGTTTATGGTCAAACTCACGGTCACCCGGAGTAGACCGAAGGGCTTCAATGAGTTGTAAGGAACCAGAAGAAACCCAGTGCTTAAAAGCGGGACGTTTCGCAAACCCACAACTGACTGTTCCCGCCATTTTCATGGCGTCACGCAATTGCAACCAATGCTCATCTATACTTTTCGGTGGAGTGGTAGCTAGCCTAGAGGCTAGCTCGGTTCGATACTTACTTGCAACAGAAGTTGCAACAAGCTTGCTAACATCAATCCGTTGATGGCGTTCACTTCGTTGTCCACTGAAAAGTAAGGCAAGATTGGCGCAGACCAAGGCATGGTCAGAGTCCAGATAGGTACTCCAAAAGGAGCGGCAGTCTTTTACACAACCACGCCAGCGGTAGCTGATCGCGATGTGATCAATCTGAGTTTTAAAGAAGTAATATTAACCTGTACTGTGATGCGCATAGCCTTCCGATTTTTAGTAAAGAGGAATTTTAAATAAAGGGGTGCATTTAGAAATCTAAAATACTTTAAAGAAGAGTATATTTTCATCGTTCTGTTATTTGTAGAAACATAAATAAAGAAAATTGGCTAGTCAGTCATATGAATCGCAGAACCTGACTTATTTGCAAGTTGTTACATCTCATTACAACAGTGAGATAAAATTATTTCTAAACAAATCACATAGTAGAAATAGTAACGATATCAGTAGCCATAGAAAAGACTAAGTATAGAAATAGGAAGAAAGGTAGGAGATTTTGGAACTCAGGTTTTAGAGAATGACATAGAGTGAATGCACATATGCCATTGAGAACAACGGTGGGCTATTACAAGCAAAGATGGTGGTGGTTAGCAGTAGAATCGAGGACGCAAGTTTATTCCTGTTTGGGAGTGGTCACCTGTGTGTACCTATATCCCACAGTTGACGTTCACTCAGAAACTCCAGCCCAGTACCGTCCACTTCAAACGTCATAACGTCATTCACTTAGTTACTGAGTCCAGATAGCCACTAGCTTATGCAACGGGGTCTGGACTCAGTAGCTAAGTGAATAACGTCATGGCGTTTGAAGTGAACAATACTGTAGTAGAGTCCCTGAGCTAACATCAGCTGTGAGATATAGGTACACCCAGGTGACCGTTCCCAAATCGGAATAAACGCATATCCTCGATTCTACTGCATGTGATTTAGACGATATCGAGGCAATTCGTAAAGAATGCCCGTATGTCAATAAGAGACTGTTCAATTGCAGTCCTAAACATTAATGAGAAAATTCAGATAACAAATGCAAAAATGGATTGTTAGCTATATCGCTTCAAAGTTACTAACTACTTGTTACAATAATCAAGGAAAACAAAGATATCTACGGGATATTTAGGTACTTGTGTAGCTAAAAAAATGGGAGAAAGAACAAAAATTAGAAGACAAAAATTAACAGGAAAATATGCGTAGTGAATTGACTTGTGGTATTTTGTTCGGCTTTACTTCCTGTACGTTGAATTTTCCATGATAATTCATGTGGCTAAATAATTAAGTTAGTCATAACCGATGTTGGACTTGAAAATGACGTGAGCTAGTTCAAGTTGTCACACCCGTTGTCACAGAGATATCAAATTACAAAACGAGTCATAATAACAGAAGTATTAGAGATAATCAGAAAGACTGAGGATAAAGAATATGACTGAAGGATGATTTGCAGTAAAAGGTTTGAAATTTCCAATATTGATGTGTTGGATAGTTATCATTCTGTAGACCCAAATCAGGTTGGAAATGTGAATTATAAGATATTGATTAAGTATTCCAGAAGTAACACGTATCATGAGAGGTTTGGAGGTTACGTCTACTTCCCATGATAGGATGGCACTGGATGTGCTAATAGAAAATCTCACTGCAGAACAGAACAGCTATCGATTTGTTTCATCAATTTCTTAACTAATTTCTATCCGTATATTGGCATCTACGTTCAATACGGCTAGAATTATCAAAGTAGGAAGAGATAGTTATTCAGTCTACCATGTTTGATAGCATTTATCTATCTTATGAAAAAAGTATTCAATATCTTGGATCAAAATTTATATTATATCATATTTCAATGCTTGAAATCGAGTTTAAATGCCTTATCAGGTTAAAACAAAAGAATGATGATGTAATAGAACTATTTATGAGTGAACTGAGTCTTATGTTGAAAAATAAAAATTTCTAAGTGTCAAATATCAGAGGTTATCAAGTTAAACCAACCACAGATGAGGTGCAACTAATTAAGATATAATAATATATTTGTAAAGGTTACTCAAAACCCAAAAATGGCCATTAATAAATACATATGTTCATTAATGCCATGTGACTGAAAGGCCTAGAGGTTCAATTTTGGAGGGGTCCTGACGGGATGTTTCCGAAGCCATGAGGTGGGAGAAAACAGTTGTTCACTGCCCACTGACTTTCAATAGTTAACAAGCTAACGTCAATAAGCAGTATAAATAACTAAAACATAATGATTTAGACCGTTTACATTTAGTGACACGTATGGATTTATTTTAAAAAAGCGCAGGTAAGAAAACAAACACAGTTCGGTCATCTAATGTGCGGCTCAACATCAAAATTGAGCAGGTTTTACTCATTACTTTGCACGTAACAACCTGTCACCATGAAGTCATGCGTCCTGAGATAAGTCCGAAATTACACAAAGAAGATGCATTGCTGTGAGTTTAGAAGATTAATTGATAAAAGATGAGTTCAAAAAGTATGTAGTTATGTTAAATTTTAATGTTCCGTATTTCAAGTTATTAGTCTTTCATTCATATTTTACAAGCTACAAGGCCTTTTTCTTTCCACATATAAACGAAGAAATTTTAAATGCTTTTTGCATCGACTAGGTCTATGAAGAACAGATTGAGAAATAACCAAATCTGTAATGAAAACCCCATCGCTAATTAAGTGACCATTAAATTACTCAGGGATTTTAACATCGGTAAGTTTGCGCTGATGCCAAACGAATAAATAAAATCGCCACAAGTTGAACTGCATTTTTCTGTCAGATTTCTGACCAATTTCTGCGCAAATCAAAGATTTTCTAACGTTTGCGCTCTACTGAGACGAAATGCGGTATATTTACTGTTTGCAGCCTAAATATCTTCATGAGCCAAAATTACAAAGTTTACTATATGGTTGATTCTGGTGAATAGGCGAGATATCATTTCTAAATATTACATACGATGAGACACTTGGGGTAATACTTTACAGCCATGACATGATGTAATATCATTGATACATTTTACTTGACTAGTCGCTTTTATAACACTGCTGAAAATATTCTCAGCAACCAACTTGCGCTACTTATCGAAAAATAAATGAAAATCGAAAGCAGATTCAAGGAACAAACACATTAGTTGAAAATTTTAAGTTTTCAGTCAGTGCAAAGAGTGAGATTTATAAGGCGAGAAGGCGATAGGATAAACAAAAAGAGCACATATGTATTTGAAAGTTGGTATTCAGCAAGATGAATTTATTGATAGGTTTTTTTCTACTTTTCTACTTTTTCGCACTCATTTAGGCGTTGATGGATGTGCACATTGTACAGTGCTTTTTAATGATCACATGAGGTTATTTTATTATTTTGTTGAAATGAATAACAAACCTCCAGACTTTGGACACATCCAGTCTCACAGTTGGAAGACAGCTTATAATATGATGTAAAGGATGAGTTACTCATCACCATATTCCGTATGAATTCTAAACAAATCTTTTTTTAATTCAAGCTTGTAGCTATTTATTTAATTTCAACATGATACCATGTTCTATTCTGGTGGCTCAAATTCGCGCACAGAATAACATTCAGAATTCGATGACTACGAATAAATTAGTCGAACGAATACTAAATACTACATTATTTGAAAATAAATAAATGCTAGCGTTAAATAAAAATTTGGTTAGCTTCTGAGACGAGTGAAAGTCTTGATACGGAATTAAATATAAAAGCTTAAAGTTTGTGTTTAAACGTACCATTAGTTAGTTTAACTTGAATTGACGGAAATACTTGTATAGTACCTGCTTTTTCATTCACATACGCATGAAAAACTTCCCTTGAATTACGTGGGAAATTCCAGAACAGTTCACATTGCACGAATATTACTGCGAAAAGTTGTGTGTTATAAGTCATTTGTATTACTTACATAAGAGAAGTAAATTTAAGAACGTCAAATGACACTTCATCCTACTCCGTCGTACTGCCCGCGTACACTTAATGTAGCGTACACAGCAACTGTTGAAGGATGAGAACATTCAAAGACAAAGTAATGATGTTCACGTTGACTGAGTATTCATAGAAAAAGGATCATTGTATGGTGAGTTCTTTTTCGTTCAGAAACTAGCTCTATACTGGCATTATTAAAACGACACTTAAATGATTTTTCTGTTTCAAACTCTCAGAAATTCCGCTAGTCCTCGTCGAGTAGGATTGACTGAATCCAGTTCAGATGAGCATATATTTTATTTGGAAATGGACACTCACAGAATATTTTTTTAAGAAATAGCTGCTCTATCATGCCGTACACCTAATGGAAATTAATGGACACTCGAAATTCAGAAATTTGGAAACCCAAATTAGACCTCTGTTGATGTTCACGCCCATCACTCAAGTGTTCTTGGACCACCACAAACTTTACCCGAAATTCTGTCTGCCAAACAATGCCAGAAACCACTTCCCCTCATGTTGTCGAATAGTGTTCTATGTGTGTATTGAAGTGTACGTTTGTGAGAGAGATCCATTGCAGTATATGCTTACGGATTCATATCTTGAGAATACTTTGTAGTTGGAGTCCAGTTGCGGTTGACTATGATCACCACTACACATAGATTACGTGCCAGTTACCAGATTAGACCCCTCTGTAGACCAAATACCAGAAAGCAGTTGAAAGTTTGAGCTAAGATTTATTTGTTGGCGATCTCATGGTATCAAAATAATAT